GGGGGGGGGGGGGGGGGGGGGGGGGGGGGGGGGGGGGGGGGGTGGCATATAAGCGTGGGCTGGTACGATGTGGTGAGCAACGAAGCACGTGTGGCAGTCAATCGTAACATAACACGTGCGGGAGACGTTGCGGGTAGGAGACAACAAGGAGGGGGGGGGCTCTGATGATAGCTTGTGCAGAAACCCTTTCGTGGGGTGCCGCGGGTTGATGCGCATCTGCACACTCTTCACCGCAACGGCGATTTCGAAGGACCTCGGTTAAGACCTTGGCTGTTGCCTATAATAGTCGAAAAATGTCACACGAGCCACAGTCCGTTCTCAGCCAAACCGGAAGTCACTCAAATAAGGTCAGTTTTGAGGGTTAAGTGTATGTGTGTTTTCGTCTTATTTACTACGGCGACAGTCCCCCCACTTTTCGTGGCGAGATGTGTTCTACATTCTTCAGTGTCTTGCGTGAATTACTAAGTGGTACAACTATGCATACAACCGTCCAGGGGAACGCAGGAGGGGGTAATCACCGTTTTTCTTTTCCTCCTTTTTGTTGTCATTTTCGTACCCCACCTTCCTCCTGCGGTCCGTGGTAAATCGAGTTATCGAGAGAAGGGCCCAGCCGTCCCATTCCCTCGTCCACGGTGCTAACGTACAAGTTTCGTATTCACGAGAGCTATCTTTTTGCTTGCACCCACGAAGTTGTGAATAATTTCACTCCATGGGGATTCGAATTTACGACTTCGCCGTTTCGAGGTTACCGCTAGACCACCGGGGCGACAGGTTAGGTGATGCATCTACGGTCATCAGTAGAGGATACCATGACGAGGCGTCGTGCGTGCTGGCACGTTCAGGTTTGCTAGTGGAGCTATATCGACGGTCGCAACAACCTTCGAAACAGTCCCAAATCAGGCATCCAACATTACATTTTGTCACAGTCGTGCTCGCCGCCACTGACCCAAAACTCCTCGACTGCGGGTTTACAGCAGGAACTGATGCCACTAATAGCTACTCCTGACAACCCCCGTTCAGCGGTTTACGGTCCGTGGCGGTGAGAACGGCTGTGACATGTGCAAATGTGGGATGCAGCATGGTTCCGGCGCAGATTTCGGACTGTTTTCAGAGGCTGCTGCGACCTTCGATTTTCTAGCTCCAGTGGCAAATCTGAGCGTGCCAGCACGCACGACGCCTCTTCATGGTGTCCTCTACTGCTGGCAGCAGTAGAGTGCACACCACCCTTGGGCGGGAAGGTTGTTTTCTCTCGTTGTAAGCACCGAAAAAGAGCCAGCGTCAAAAAAACTTTTCTTCACCCCCTTAACTACCGTATATGACACAAGGTACCCCCCTCTCCGCAGAATACGACACCCCGGTGGTAGTTTTGGGCGCTTCTGACGATTTATCACCGGGGGTACGTAAGATAACACACCCCGGTGATGTTTTTAGTTGCGCCGCATATAGTCATGGGGCCCCTCCTTTTTTCTATTACCGGGGTGACAGCATCTGCCCTGGGCAATCACGCACACAACCACGGCAGCTGTGTGCGGGGAAACACCGCATGGAGCACTCCAACAACATGAACGTGCAGGCACAGCAGAATGCAGCCGCAAGTACCTCCGCTCCTTCGACAACTGCTTCGACTGCAGCAGCGCAGGCGCCAAAGGAGATCACCTCCTTCTTTGGGCCCGCGCACATCTCTTCTACGCAAGAGGCTCCTACTCCTGCTCCTGCTGATCTCACAGCAGCACGAGCTGGAACAGCAACAGGCGTCAACATGACAGCCTCCGCATCGCCTCAGCAGCAGCCAGTTGCTCTCTTGCTCTCAGCAGCACGTATGAACACCGCACCAGACGAGTCAACACACACCAGCCAAGCATCTCAGCTTGTGGTGGACGTGGTGGACCAGGAACCCAGCACTTCCGTCGGCAGGAAGAACGATCCAAGTGAGTGTACATGTGCTTCGTGGATTTGGCGTAGTATCAATCCGCGTGTGGTCTCGAAACGTGCAATTGTGGGTTGGCTTTTGCACCACCCGCACACTCCAGGGTTCTTGTAATTTTCTTTTTTTTTTTGCGCCACCCGTTCCCAGGACACATTTTGAGGGTTTCTTTCGTGTGCAGTCGCCTATTTTAACCACACGTTCCCGGTACGGAATTTGTAAGTTGTTTTGTGCGCATGTGGCTTTTTTTTTTTCACACGCTCGCGGAAATTGATTCTGTCGTTGCGTGCCCATTTCGTAATTCTTTCGTTCGCAGTGTTTTTATGGCCATTCGTCGGTATTGTACACACTTTAAAGCTGCTTTTAGTGTATGATTATTGTTCCTGCAATGCCGCAGTGTGTCGTGGCAATGCCGCAGCTTTCTTTGCAGCTGGCATCTCCATACCACCTTGATTAATTTTCAATGGTACTGTTTTGCGCATTTTTTGTTCACCCTAAAGTGTACTTTCAACCGCCAAACGTTTTTTGGAAAATTGAACACGGTGTAAGTCAATCAGCATACTCTTTGTGAAGAAACAGCTTTGGTTTCCGCCCACACGACACACGTTTCCGTGCGTTCCAACATTGACCGCTTCGTGCCTTCCCGCACATATTTGTCTCCGTTTGTCTTCGGTAGGGTGAGCGGCACACCCGGAGCGCCTCCATCAGGAGCAGCACCGGCGCCAGCTCCGGCATCGGCGCCAGCTCCACCATCGGCGCCAGCTCCAGCACCGGCGCCAGCAACGCCGGCAGCGGGAGGAACGCCGGTGGCCAACGATGCTGCATCCGGCGACGTGATGTTTCCCGGAGAGAGAGAGAGAGTGGGGAGATGGGCTCGGCGGCGTTCTCTTTGGTACGCCGGCACAGAACAAGGGCAAGAGGAACAAAGGGCGGCTGGAGTTGGAGCCGCCGAACTTCCCGATCCCCTAGCTTGGTGGTGGAAGCCAAAGGAAGCGCTACCCTCTGAAGCTTAAGGTGGATGCGGTGAGGTACTCACAGAGGAAGATCAAGGGGGCGCAAGGACCGAACGGGACCGTTNGGAGAGACAGAGTGGGGAGATGGGCTCGGCGGCGTTCTCTTTGGTACGCCGGCACAGAACAAGGGCAAGAGGAACAAAGGGCGGCTGGAGTTGGAGCCGCCGAACTTCCCGATCCCCTAGCTTGGTGGTGGAAGCCAAAGGAAGCGCTACCCTCTGAAGCTTAAGGTGGATGCGGTGAGGTACTCACAGAGGAAGATCAAGGGGGCGCAAGGACCGAACGGGACCGTTGGGATAACCTACGCGACCAGGATCCTGAAGGTTCCCGACAAGGCGACGTTGGCGGCGCGGGTCAAAAACGTCGCCAAGTACGAAGCCGCGCTTGCGGAGCAGGACACGTTCAAGGGAGGAGGGAAGCGCAAGAAGAAAGCCAGGAACCGCTTGACGCTGAACGTCGGACGTATCAGGACGCACACGGCGGCCGAGCTTGAGGCCGTGGACTGGATCAACGAGCTGCGTTCTGACGGCATATCCGTCCGTGTTTCGACGAAAAAGATGATCAAGAACAAGGCCGTCGAACTCAATCCCAACTTCTTCGGGGAGAGGCCGGCGCCACCCGATCTTCAGGGCTCCCTCAAGTACAACAACAGGCAGAACCTGTGGTGCAGAAGGTTTCTCATGGTCTACCGCTTCTCTGTGCGAGCTGTCACCCGGCAAGGCCAGAAACTTCCTTCTGGCTGGCCTTTGGTCGCCATGCAGGCGATCAAGGAGTGGAGGAGGCTGGAGTACGACGTGCCTTCCGCGCTCGAACTTGCGGACGGAGTCGAGTGCCTGGGGGTTGTGGCAGGGGCGGGAGGCAGCGCGAGCGGGAGCGGGGGTGGGAGTGGCGCTGGTGTTCTTTCGGGGCCGCGTCTCAAGTTCGCCTTGGCGCAGATCGGCAACATGGACGAAACCCCTACGTGGTTCGAGAGCCTGGGGAAGGACACTGTGAACGTGAGCATTCGTTTTGCCCAAGTTTTTGCTCGTACTGCGTTAGATGTAGCGACCCTGTCCTTTCCTCCGTGAACGCTTCTTTTAGGCCACCCTTTTTTTTTTTTTTGTTAGGATCTATCTTCATGTAGGTAGTTTGCGTCTTTTCGCTTCTTTCGCTTTCTGTTCTCCGATTTTGGTCATGTTTTTTTGCAACCATTGCTGCCACTTTCCGGATCTTGACAACCAAGAGTCGTTTCCACGCACCCCACGTTCATGTCGGTTTTCGCTGTTCTACCAAATCCCGAAGGCCACGGGCGAGAAGGAGATTGCCGTCAAAGCCGGCGGCAAGGAGAAGATGCGCATCACTTCGGTCCAAACGGTGTTCGCCGAACGCAGCAAGCTGCCGCCCCTCCTCATCTTCAAGGGCCAGCCCACTCCGAAGGGAAAGTCCCCCGCCGCCGACAGCATCGAGCGCGACTTCAGGAACTACAAGGACCGGAAGGGCTGCGCGTACCCGCGAGGTATGGCCTACGTCGTGGACCCCAAGGGATGGCACTCCCAGCGGGTGTTCGACGACGTGTGGGTGCCGCAGGTGTGGAACCGGCGCCCGGGGCGGCAGGGCCGCCTGGGCGGCTACCGTCAGCCCGGCACGCTTCTGGCGTGGGACGACTACATTGTCCACAAGACAGACGCGTCGACCAAGGCGATGGAGGAGTCCAACACGACGCTGTTCCCCATCCCGGGAGGCCTGACTCCAAAGCTCCAGCCGTGCGATGGCCTGGTCAACAAGATCTTCAAGGCAAACATGTCNACGCGTCTACCAAGGCGATGGAGGAGTCCAACACGACGCTGTTCCCCATCCCGGGAGGCCTGACTCCAAAGCTCCAGCCGTGCGATGGCCTGGTCAACAAGATCTTCAAGGCAAACATGTCCAGGCTGTACGACGACCACATGGCTTCCAAGGACGTCACGCGCGACGACCGCGGCTACCCGAAGCCCCCTTCGCGGGGTTTGGTCGCACAGTGGGTCAAGAAGGCGAGGGATGCCTTGACCGCGGATGAAATCCGCTCGAGCTGGAGGAAGGCTGGCCTGCTGCTGCCCTTCGACGGGTCGGAAGACGAGGCCTGGGCCAACAAGGAGCTCGGCGTCAACGCCAAGGGGGAGCCCATCGGCGCGCCATCGGACGCTGCGGACAAGGCTGACTCGTCGTCCGGAGGCGAGAACTTGCTGGAGGTGTTGGACATCGACGATGACGACGACACGGGCGGTGTGGTGGTGGACGTGAGCGACGACGAGGGCGAGGAGCTGTGAGGCATCGGCAGCGATGTTGGCGTTGAGAAAATGGCTTGTGGTGTCCTTCTCATGTTTCCTCGGGTTTTTCCTGGCGTGCCTTTCCGTTCCTTCCGTCGTCTTTGAGCGGGTGTGAAGAAACTGTCGGCTGTTTTCTTCGCCGCGTGGAGTGCAACGCTGTTGTGTCTCGTATTCAGTGTAGATTTGCGGCTTGTGGTCGTTGATTCTTGTTCGTGGTGTCGTTGCGTAGTTCCCTTTTGGTCGTACCCAAAGCAAGGCAAGCAGCAGCAAACGTTTTTGTGAGGGGGGCAGGAAGGATAGGGCCGTCTGCGGCCATCGTCAATCATCGTATCAGTCGAGGTACCTTCGATTTTCATTTTTTTTCTTGCTCGATTCAAGCCCGCATTTTGTTTCAACCTTGTTTTGGCGATGAGGGGGTTGAGTTATCGCCGAGGTCATGTACTCAGGAGTTTCATCACCTCGGTTGAGCCCCTTCCTCTTTGTTTTTCCACGCCCCTTTGGTAAGGTCCCTACACTGCACGTGTACGTGCAGACAAGGCCATCACGCCTCCGCAATACCACACACTTTCAAGTGTGCGGCAGCAGCGGTTCATCTCTACAAGCAGTGTATCACACCCCCTTTTTTATCACACCCCAAAGCACACGCTGTGGCTGTTCGGACGTGCTATCACACCCCCAAACACACGCTGTGGCTGTTCGGACGCGCTATCACACCCTCTTAGGGGCCCTTGCGAGCTGCACTTCATCGCCCGGGGTACATAAGATAACACCCCCCCCGACAGGATACCACACCCGGTGATAGTATTTTCAAACTCCTAAATGTTATCACCGGGGTGTGTGATCCTGCGTCATGTACGGTAGTTACCAAACTTCTTTAGCCGTGATGAGGTGACCGTGGAATGGTGTTCCCTAGTGGAGAGCCTCCTAACGAACTATTTTCTTTTTCGGAAAAATCGCAGCGAGCAATAAGAGATTACAATCATGTCGGAGGCCTCAGCTCACTGCGCTCGTTGACGAGCAAAAAATTCGGTCGTACACATACCGGCAGGATCACTTTTCTTAACAAAAAAAATATATCGTCCTCCTCCGCGGCCTGCCCCCCCCGTCCCTGGGGTAGGCCGAGGTTCCGCAAGTGGATCTAGACCTCGAAAGACCACCCAGCAAAGACGGACATCCGGTCCCTGGCACTATTTAGAGGGGGATCCTGAGTTGGGCGGTTGGGAGTGACTGCTGTCGTGAGATCGGGGTAGCTCCTGAGCCGCCAGCTTTGGTAGCTGCTAAGTGAGACTAGATCCTGACGCCCCGGCCNTGAGTTTGGCGATTGGGGATTACTGCTGTCGTGAGATCGGGGTAGCTCCTGAGCCGCCAGCTTTGGTGGCTGCAAAATGAGACTGGATCCTGATGCCCCGGCTTGGACACCGGGGCTATGCAGCAGCAGAGAGCACGGTGAGGGTGGCGGAGTGACCGCACGCCGTGGGGGTATGCCCCAGAGAGCGGAAAGGACGAAAAGGAGGGGTCAGGCGGCGCGTAGGCTAGCTACGAGAGCATCGCGCGCCCCGCGGAAGAGACAGCGGGGTCAACTTCTTAGGGTAGCAACCTGGAATGTCTGGACTTTGGCTGTAAACGGGGCCAATGGATACGGGCGAGCCTACAGCGTTCTTCACGAGGCAGCGAGACAAGACGTATCGGTGGTAGGAATGCAGGAGACACGGAGGGCAGGTCGAACGGAATTTGCAGCAGCGGGTTTCCGGGTGTTCTGCTGTGGCACGGAGACTGGTGGAGTCCATGGTGTGGGGATAGCCGTCAAAGAGTCACTGTGCAAGACATCCACGTTCACTACGGAGTTTATCGACGAACGCCTTATGGCCATGAGGTTTCTGGTGGCAGGCCACCGTGGAGCGGTCAACTTCGTAGCCGCGTATGCTCCAACCCAACCTTCAACCGCCGACAGCAAGCGCGTGTTCTGGGGAAAACTTGACCGTCTCGTGCGGAGGATCCCTTCCAAAGAATGTGTGTATGTCCTACTGGACGCCAACGCGCGGACGGGAGATAGGTTGGACGGAGGGGACGGAAGG